TGTTGTTGTTGTTGAATATTTTATCCTCTGTACCTGCACTCACTATGCCTGGCACATGATAGGTACTAAAACATTCTTAGTTGAAAGAATAGATGGAAGAAATACGACAAGCCAAAGGCTAACAGATCAAGTGGGTATTTTTACCCACTTGGTATTTACCCACTTCAAGTGGGTATATAAGTAGAATATGATTTAAATAATGCAGAAGGTTCTCACTCGATTTCTTGGCACCACATACAGAAGTTTTCAAAAATATTTTGATTGTGAAAGTAGTATAACTACATTATATGGATTGTTTGAAATGAAAAGCCATTTATGAGCCCAAACACAGTTGTGACATTTGACGTCTTTTTCCTCCAAAAGTACAAAAGTCTTTTGAAACTTACTGGAGATGAGAACACAAGATTCTACGTAGTTCCCAGCAGACCAATGAATTCTATGTCACAAAGTCCACTGAAACAAAGAGCTAGGTTTCCTACCAAATTGTTCTGTCTCTATTTTAATAACAATAACAACACAAATCCTAACCTCTTCTATTAATTCTACCTATGCTAATTCCACAAGTTTCAGAGGAAGAATGAGAGGTGAAAGCCACAGAGTAAAACATAGCCTGGACTAATCTGTAAGATGGAGGAAGATGAGGAAAGAAACCAGAGAACATCAAAGCAAGCTCTCCCTTCTATCCTGTGGTCAAAAAATAGCCAAGATCCTCAGATAGAGTTCAGACAGCTGGCCCCAACTCCTTCTGTATGAAAAATTAAGCTATTCATGGCAGCATTCTTAAAGCTCCTTAAAAGGAACTCAAAGTCACACAATTTTCATTGCCCCTGGGACCACATTATAAGAGATCTTTTTGTGTCATTCTAACTAAAGAGAGTTGAGTCTTGCACATCAGAATCCCCTTGGAATCTCAGTGCTAGAGATCATTCTACACAGGGCTGAGGGTAGTTTAAATTCTACTGCAGCTATGCACTGAACTAAGACAGAAGTACAAACTCTTTAAAACTCTGTCAGACCTCCCTGAGGAGGAACTATTGACCCCAGATTCAGTCATTCTCCACTAACTCTGGCTCTCCATTGCCTATTTCCTACTGACAATGTCCTTCTGTGTGGAGAGACAAAAGCATCACTCACATTGAATATTTATGGGCATCAAAATAGTGAATGGGAAAGAAATACCCAGAGGAAACTTTCAAAGAAACCAGCATGTGCTGGTTGGTTTGGGACCACCAATAGCTACTTTCTAATTGGTATATCTAGTCCCATAAGAGTGAACTCATTTCTGAAAATGCTAAGTTTACACCTAGAGAATAACCTGCTGGGAGAGTGAGGATGACCAACAGGCTGGAGCACCAGCTGTTGCCACCATTACTGAGCAGAGGCTGGAAAAAGAGCAGTAAGTAAAATCTGTGAACATGCCAGGAGAATCCCCCAAAGCTGACATCACAAACTTTCATCATATGGTCATATAGCTTATGAGGGTCAAGGAAAAAAGAAGATGTAGCCAAACTGGAAGAACACAGAAAAACTATACTGGTGCTATAATTGTGAATAGTAGCAGCAGCAATTGCTACTGTCAAAATTCTAATGTAATTAGATCCTAATAACAATCTTCTGAATACTTTAAAACAATTTTGGTTTCAGTTTACATACATCTTGATTCATTATCATTGAAGTAATTCTGAACAAGGAAAAAGGGAGAAAAACTGAAATTGAAGTATAAATAGAAATTATTCATGTAGGCTACTGCTTGTAACTTACCCTAAATCCTGCCTTCTAGCCCAGGAACGGCAAATAGGTTTTATCTTAGGTACCAATTCCAGTTGACAGAGGCTGTGTTGAGACCGATTGCTTAGGCTAAATGGAAAGAAATGTAGAAAAAGCCTACCCTGAATGAGGGACAGAGGAAATTAAACACTTGTAACATGTATCCGCCACCCAGGGTCTAATCCAGAGGTTCTCAACTGTGGGCAATCTGCTTTCCCGGAGATACCTGGCAATGTCTGAAGACATTTTTATTTGTCCCAACTGGGTGGGATAGGATTGCCATTGGTAGAGGCCAGGGATGATGCTAAACAGCCTACAGCCTCTCCCTCCAACAAAGAATTACCTGGGCCAGAACATATCAATATTCCTAAGGGTGGGAAACTATGCTCTAGTCAAATCTATCCTATAGTCAGTCCATGGACTGGGGTCTTCAGTCAAATGACATTAAATTTGTCTTCGGTCTTCCTAAACTACCTCTCAATGTGAGAGTAATTCTATACAACTTAATTGGAATATGAGAATGAGGGAATCAATTGGATTTACAAAGATCACACTGATCTGTTCCTAACTTTTACTGTGATCACAGGCATGAATTATTTTATCCCTTAAAGCCTTGGTTTCTTCGTCTGTAAGAAGAGGGGCTTGGATTAGATAATCTCTGTGTTCATAGATAAAAACCAGAACTGCCAGGAAGCCCTTAAATACGCTAAGGGCAGTAGTCCCCAACCTTTTTGGCACCAGGGACTGGTTTCATGGAAGACAATTTTTCCACGGACAGGGGGTGGGGTGGAGCTCAGGTGGTGATGCCAGTGATGGGGAGTGTCTGTAAATACAGATGAAGCTTCACTGCTGGCCCACCTGCTCACTTCCTGCTGTGTGCCCCCCCCACACACCCACTCCTAACAGGCAATGGACCAGGGCTTGGGACCACAGGCTAAAGGAATAAAATCCTTTATGTTAGTTAGTAATAAAGTCCTTGTTGATATCCTCTTCAACAAGAGACAATTCGTCTTCAGTTTAAAACAAGTTGATCGATTTCAATCTCTGCTAATGCAGAGTTATTAGCCATGCCTGAAATAAACTGTCTTAATTTTCACATAATGCTTACATATTTTCCATCTGAATGCTTGTCTTTAAGATGCTTTGGCAAATCTGAAGGTACTCTTACTTTCTCGTTCACACACATTTACACTATCTGAGTTGCTTCTTTCAACTCTCCAAACATCTACAGTCTGTCATCTATCAGTCAAGCTGTTAGGATCAATTATATAGCCTCTTATAATTATACGTTGCTTTTTTAACCCTGTAAATCTCCTTCATCAATCAATTAATCAATTCAAATATTTCAGAGTCTTCTCTGTGTCAATGACACTAATACTGGGGTTAGAATAGAGGCTGGAGCTGTGCTGGTACAAAAACAAACAAACAAAAAAGACACAACCAAAAACACAAAGACAATTTCTAGCTACAAAGAATTTACAGGCTAATTAAGAGGATGAAACACATGACGATATTAGAAAACAAGTTATATTAACTAGGTAATAGCAGGAAAATGTCACTATGAGGGTAAGAAATGACAACAGAATGAAATGAAATGTCTGCTGTACACAGATGAAAGGTGACCCAGAAACTATGATAAAAAATCCATATGAATCAGATGCAGGACTGCTGACATTCTGCCAATGGTTTCAAAGGTTAACTACCTTTAAAAGATATGTTAGACAGATATGCAAAATATGGCTGCAGAACTGTAAGAACCAATTAATGCTCCGAGAGTCAAATTACAACAGAAACATTTGGAAGTTAATGCTATTAAAGTCGTATGTGTTAAGTTAAATCACATCTGCCAAAATACAGAACCCATAAACCACTCCGCAAGAGAGATATTTATATAGAGACATAAGGGGCAGCAAACTTGCCCATATTAATAGTTCATCTAGGTCTTGGACGTGTACACCAAAGAACTTGTTGAAGCAGAGTATGTGTGTTTACTCCTAGAGGTCAATTTCTAATCATTAGAAATATGCCCTGAACCTAAATTACTGAACCTTTATGGAAGAAACATTTATATATTTTTCTAAATCTCAAACTGTTTTTTACCAGTGGTGCCTCTTATGGTAGTAAAGCAAAATGTCCACCACCCAGAGCCTACATATGTGATAAAACTAGTATGTTTACCACCTACTTATCCAATAGCAAATGCAAGTTTCTAGCATCACCTGGGAAGACTGTATTTTGTATAAGTGAATTTTACCTATTACAAAATAATAGTATGTTTAAATGAGCACAAAATTCAAATGAAGAGTAACTCTATCTCCCTACAGCATTTTCTCCTAGGAGGATAATCTCTGAGACCTTTTCATTGTGCTGTTCTTGTTTAAAACAAATGATAGCCCTCTCTGGCCTATTTCTCCAACTCTAAACTCCCTGGGCTTCACTTCAAGGGTTCCATCAACAAGTTTCTTCTTCCCTTCAATTACATTAACTTTGTCTGTCACTAGTACCTCCCTTCTGCCTAAATAGGCTCATTGGTTTGGAATATCCATGAAGTTTAATGTCCTAAACTTTCCAATCAATAGAATCTTAATTTAATCTAATACATGGTACTCTGAAAACAAATGCTGAGCAAGTCATACTATTATTCAATGCATCACATTTCATTTGTTTTGGGCATGGTAACAAATAGATAACAGATAGCAAATTAACAGATTTTAAATTGAAAGAATTTGTTAAGGGTTGTTTATGCAGAAGTTTTCCATTATTTTGTTACTTAATTCTAAAGAAAGGAATGTGAAAGTATAACTCTTTTTTAGAATTTAGGGACAAATTTTAACAGCACTCTCAATAGAGTCCTTTTAACAGTAAATCGAAATAAAATCTTGCCACAGTTTGCACTGAACATACTCTAGTACATCAAATACTTAAGCATAAAGGACTCAGAGAGATGAGGGGAAAAAAAAACAGAAAAGAAAACAACTCACATCACACTTACATCTGTTAACAGGGATTATAATAATAAAAAAGCCCCTGACATGATCAGAAAAGCATGAGATATTTGTATAACAACCTACAGGCAAAATGAGTAAGAAAACACAGCAGGATTTTCCAGGATATTAATAAAGGTTAAAAAAGAAAAATCTCTTGGAGTAGTATTTTTAGTAACATATCTTGAATTCATTAAAAGACTCATGTGGGTATTAAGTATGTGCTTGATAACAATGGTAAAAACATACCTAATTTTATTTTCCATATCTTCACCATCTGATTCTTCAGAGCTTCTGTACTTATCTGGATCTGGAAGTGTGCTTGGATCAAACCCATCATCATCATCATCACTCCAATCCAGAAAAGCTTCCTCTTCATCTTTGGCCTAAGAAAACACAAGGGAAATGGTGGTTTAAGAAGTCAGTTAATTAATAATCAGGTCTTATTTCTAGACCCAAATAGACACCCTCTAATTGGCATCCTCAAATTAGAAGCCTTCTATTCTGGTGAAGGCCTTTATGTGACTTTTAGAACCACGATCATTTGCAAAGAGAAAGAAAATCCATATCATTTAGAAAAATAAAATATGACACAGAAAGTAAATCACTATTAAGTCCATTAAACTCAATATAGGTGAACATCATTTGGTTTATTATTTCCACGTAACTCAATATCAGAGAAATAAAGCTGGGTGCTGTGGCATACTCCTGTAGTCCCAGCTACTTGGGAGGCTGAGGCAGGAGGATCACTTCAACCCAGTAGTTTGAGGCTGTAGTGTGTAATGATCACACCTATGAATAGCCACTGCACTCCAGCCTGGGCAACATAGCAAGACCCCATCCATCTCTAAGAAAATAAAAATTAAAAGAAATAAAATGTAAAGTTGTTTTAGTGCTCCTGTCCACACACATAAATTTCAAAACTACCAAAAATATTAGGTGAAAATATAAAAGACCAGAAGCGAGAATATAGTAACATTTGTCTAATTTTATGACCATAATAATCTAAGTCTTAAAAAACAATCAGATCTGTACAAGTTTATAGTGAGGGGTCTCCTAAATTCATATGCAAGTACAAAGTCCTGAGAACACAGGAAAAGGGGAGGAACACCATGAAATGGGAAAAGTGATAATGCGTGGGAGGGGAATGCATGGAAGAAGTTGAGATCTATTCAGTTTGATGCAAATAGGTAGGTAGGTGGCTTTTTTTTTTTTTTTGGTTTTGTTTTTTGGTGGTTAATTTATTTTTGTCACAGAACAAAGTAATGCAATATTAAGCTATTTATTACATTTATACATTACATTTATGCTATGAGCATCACTTGTAACAAGTTTAATACTTGTAGATTGGTTTTCCCACCTAGTAGATAAACTCAAATAAGCAATGACACATGAATTTAACAGAAAACTATAAGACTATAAAAATAAATTCAGGATAAGTTTCTCTCAGTTATCAACTTTATAATTATTCTTCAAACCAAGTCAGACAAACTTCAATGATTCTTTGATTTCAAATGATTAATGGTCTTTCCCAGGAACTCAGTAACAACTCATTGCTATCCACTGTTCTATGCTATTCACTATAGAAGTCCTTTAACACTTTTTGAACAGCTCTCCCTTAGAAAATCTCTAAACATAACAAAAGGGGGAAATAGTAAAGAAAATAAGGATTAGTCATCACTGCAAAAGTCCCTTATTGCTTTCCTGATAAAGCTCCCTGGTAAAAATAAAAGGTCTGGAAAGAAATCAGGGTGGGAGGAGGAGGCTCTTAGAAGTGGAAAGCAGGCATACTTGGTGGCATATTTTATCATCTACTTGAAAATAATCAAAGATATCAACAAAAACTGAATGTCATCATATACTCGAGAACACTAATCTCCTGGGTTATAAGACACTTCCAGTTTTCCAATCTGATGCTCTTAAAGGAATGTGCTGTCTGAAGGTGGAGGCAGAGCAGACTCAAGAGTTCTCAAACTTCTTGGTCTCAGGACACTTTTACAATAAGAATGGAGCACTTCAAAGAAATTTTGTTAATGTGGAGAGTATCTGACATTTACTGCATTAGAAATTAAAGGTAATAATTTTAAAAAGTATATTTATTGATTCACTTAATAAATTCACTACATATTAACATAAAAAGCATATTTTATTGAAAAATGCTGTCATTTCTAAACGTTAAAGATCATTTTACATTTTTGCAAGTCTCTTTAATATCTGGCTTAAAAGACAATAGCTCTCAAATCTGCTCTGCATTCAATCTGTTGCAATATGTTGTTGTGGTGGAAGTACACAAAGAAACTCTGGCCTCTCACAGATAGGTAATTGGGAAAGGGAGGAATAATAATATAACCTTTTCTGATAACTGCAGTTATTTTCTTTTGATACCACAACAAACTTTGATGAGTGGTAGTTTCTTAAAGAGTAGTTGCAATGTGGAGTCTGAAACCACATTAATGAACATTTTGTACTTTGTTACACTAACATCCATTAGTCTACCTTGCACTTTGAATGGGTCTTTAACCAGTGAATTATTTTGTATCATCGTGCATTGGTCACTTGGAAAATACCTGTTCACTGAATTATGTACATAAAGATCTTCTTTATGTGGATATCCAAATGTTGACACATTTCATTATACAATATTTTTCTAAAAATCACATTTGTTAATATTACCAACGTCATTTTTAAAAAGCCTTTTAAAAGTATCAGGAAGAATTGGTGAACACAAGTTTTCCAAAGTTCTTTTTTTCTGAAAAGCTCAGATTATTATCATCAGCAAAAAATACTTTCAGTTTGTTTTCCTTGAAGTATAAAAAAGTATCATTTTCCTCTAGCTGCTTTCAAAAATTTTTATCTTAACAGTTGGACTATAATGCATGTATCTAGGAATGGTTTTTCTGTGTGTTTACTCTTTGTGGGGGGGTTCTGCAAGCTTCTTAGATCTATGTTACTCACTAAACTTGGAAGTTTTCAGTCACTATTTCTTCAAATATTTTTATGTCTCTCTTACCTCTCCTTTCAGGATTGCCAGCACATGTATGTTGGACTACTTCACAGGTCTCAGGTTCTGTTCATTTTTCCTCACTTTTTTCTGTTCTTTGGACAGAGCAATTTCTACCGGGTCTTCATGTTTGCTGTTCCTTTCTTCTGACATTTCCAAATTGCTTTTGAGCCCATCTAGCAAATTCTTTATTTTAGTAATTATACTTTTCACTCTAGGGTTTCCAAGTTTGCTTGTTTTTATTTTTTTTATAGCTTCCATTACTCTGCTCAGATCATCTGTTTATTCATTGATATCATATTTTCCTTTAATTCTTTGAACATATTTAAAATAGCTGCTTTGAAGTCTCTGTTAAATTCAAATCTAGGCTAAGAGTCAGTTTCTACTGACTGCCTTTTTCTTAGGTATAGATCATACCTTCCTGTTTAGCTGCATGTTTAATATTTTTATAGGAAACTGGATATTGTAGATAACGCATTATAGAAACACTAAATTCTGTCATGTTTTCTGAGGATTAATGAATCTGTATTCTAGTAGGCAGTCACTTTGCCTGGATTCAAATGGCAAACTCTAAACCATGTTAGCAGTTGTTTATCTCCTTTTTGTTTTTATGGCTTCCAACAACTTTTTTTTTTTTTTTTTTTAGCATGGTTTCCTGTGAGTCTCTCCTGAGCCTGTGAAATGGGGCACTTAGCAAGGATTTAGGTGTATTTGAGCTTACCTGTGGCTGTCTCTGGGGATTCCCTTAATTTCTAGCTGCTCTGCTGGCTTAGAGATCTATACTATGGATGAAGTATTCAAGCAGAATTAGGTGTTAATATAGTTGAATGAAGTATTCTGCTTGAATACTTCAACTATATTAACAGCTAATACTACTATTTAATATGCTATTTTAGCATTAATTATAAAGTAGCCTTCACAAAACATGTACAATTTAATAAAGAAAAAAATTAGAAGGGGAGTCTTAGTAAATAACCTCAACTCAATATTCCAATATAAATGTTTATCTATTTGAAGGGGAATACTAATTCAGAATAAAAATTTATTTTTAAATGGATAAAATAGTGTGACTGTAATTGACAACATTCAGGCCTTGCTATTTCCTGACCTACAGGATGACTGCAATATTGATGCCACACCATATTGTCTGTGCTACATTACAGTCAATTCATGACAGTGACAAGTAAAATATGTAACACCTGTATTATGAAAAGTATAATGTGAACTCTAATACCTTTAATTTATTAACAAACAAACCACTAACAATTTACAACAAAAACAACGCATAAATAAAAGTAACTAAGTGAAACGAGTATTAACACAATGAAAACATTCTGGAGAAAAGTACCGTCCATCTTTCTGGCAAGGTCTGGTTTAGAAGATGCTCTTTGTAGCCACATACGGTAGTTGAGGAAATGAACATTCCAGCCATTCTGTTCTTCATTTTTGATTTCATGAATCATTTAAAAGATAATTTACATATATGGCACCATCCTTCCTCATTTCTATCTCCTTTTGGACTTACTTTCATGAGTTAGAGCACGAATACTCTCTGATACATCTCTTACTACACAACTGACTGTGACATGTGACTGTGCTGGGAACCATGGCTGGAAACTCAGTGCTATAAGGGAAGCCATTTAAGTACTTTAGCAGGAAAGCAATTAACGAAATTAGTACCTTAGAGATGTAGCAGTGGGAAGGGTGGTTGGAGGGTGTAACACCTAAAGATTATCAATTTTAAAACTATAATAATCCAGGGGAGGTGCAAGGAAATCAATGAAGTGGCAGGGGAGATAGATGAAGGTAGGGAGAGAGGTATGAGAACTGTTAAGGAGGGAGAATCAACTCGACTCTAGATAACACGGGTACTATAATGAACAATGTTTGTGTCCCCCCAAAATTCATATGTTGATACTCCAAGGCCAATGTGAAGGTCATGAGGGTAGAGCCTTTATGAATGGGGTTAGTGCCCTTAAAGGGAGGGGTCAGGGAACTAACTAGCTCTCTTTCCACCATGTGAGGACACAGCAAGAAGCCAGCCATCTGCAAACCAGTAAGCAGGCCCTCACCAGATACCAGACCTGCTGACACCTTCATATTGGACTTTCCAGTCTCCAGAACTGTGAGAAACGTTTGTTGTTTAAATTATCAGTCAATGGAATTTGTTACAGCAGCCCAAACTGACTGAAACAGGTACATAATATAGTTAAGACAATCAAAATGCACAGAAGCATAGTTGTACACATTGGACCCATGTTAAATATTAAATATGGAAAACAGAAAGAAAGCAATTTAAACAGTGTGAAGATGCCTTACAAAAATGTGCTATGGACTGAATGCTTATATCACCCCACAATTCGTATGTTGAAACCTAACCTCAAA